GGCCTCTAAGAAGCGCTGGGGTGGACAAGAGAGCGGAAGAGGGGGGGGCCCCTCACTCGTCCCCCCCTCACCGCCCCCCCCCCCCCCCCCCCCCCGCTTGAAATCAACAGTGGGCAACTCAGACGTGTCTCTGTCTCCATTCCACTGCCCTGCCAAGGCAAGTAAACTATGAGAACACTGTATTTATATAGGAACAACAGTGTCGAGTGATAACGCATACATGCGTTACCACTTATATATTGCTGTACGTGAGGATGTGAGCAATATATTGTGGTTTTTGGGTCAATGTCTTGGCGGTCAAGTCTGAAGTTGTGAGCACTGTGAAATGGCAGATTTTTATTGATAATATCTCTGTACTTTGTTTCTTTCAGCTTTCATTCAACCCTGATCAGTTTCCCAGTCATTGCTGCACTCACACACAAAAAACCACTCACAGTATGTTGCTGCCACCATCATGCTACATTGTTAGGATGGTATTTAACACATTATAAGGGTGTCTGGTTTCCTCCAGACATAACATTTAGAGTTGAGACTAGATAGTTCAGTCATGGTTTCATCAGACCAGAGAATCTTCTTCCTTGTAATCAGAGCCCTTCAAGCAAGAGTTCAAGTGCTTTGCACTGATTAGATGTTTCTATCTAGTCACTCTGCCTTAAAGCTCATATTGATGGAGGCCATCAGTTATGGTTGTCCTTCTAGAGCTTAGTCCCACCGCCACACAGGAATACTGAACCGCATTGGAAAGGTTCTTGATCACTTCTCTGATTAAAGCCCTTTTCATTGATTGCTCAATGCTGTAGATAATATTGTTGTACCTAAACATTTCCATTTGAGATTTATAGAGGATGCTTTGCTTTTGGAACCTTCAGTGCAGCAGAATTTTTGTAGCTTTTTTCAGATTTATGTCATGCAACAGTCCTGTCTCTGACATCTTTGTGGAATTACTTTGACCTTACAACTTGATTAACTTGATTACAAATAAGACCTGATTTCCTCTGTGGACAGGCCTGAACTTCAGGGACAACTAAAGACCTGATTACCTCTTTAGACTAGCCCAAACCTCGGGGACAACTAAAGACCTGATTTCCTCTGTGGACAGGCTTGGACCTCAATAAATCCAAGGGATCTGGAGGGCACATAAGGCTGCTGGGGGTTAGACACAAACCTGTCCATTCAAGTCCTTACAGGTCAACAACCAAACTTTAAAATCAATTCTCAAATGAACAGGAAGCTGATGAAAGGAAGCGAGCACCAGCACTTTCTTGTTCATGTTAAAAGATACGCTGCAGTGTTCTGAACCAGTGCTGTTGGACAAGCTCTGGATACTAATGGAAATGTGATATTACCATTTTATCTTTTTAAAAATGTTTTCAATAAAATTCAGATTTTACTGTGGGCCGAGATGGGGTAGAGGCAAGGCAGCCAACTCGGGACTCGAAAGTCCCAGGTTCGATCTCCAGTTATTGCACATCTCAGGGTGTCTCTGAGCAGGACACCCTATCCCCAACTGCTTCCCGGGCGCTTTCAGTAGCTTCCCACTGCTCCACTTGGGGGTGGATGGGTTAAATGCAGAGAGCCAATTTTGCCATTGTATGGGAACATACATTGATGACAACACATATCATCATTTATTATGTTGTCTTTGTCACTATGGGATACTGAGTAAAGATTGAGGAAAAAACAAAGCATGTAAGATTCTGAATATTGTTTGAACCCAGTTCAGTTCATAAATGTGTTTCTGTTGGAGTAAACTAAAGGCACCAAATTAATTCCCCTAACAGAATAAAAGCTGACAGCTTTTATTATTGCATAGGTTATGTTGGTCAAAAACTGATATATCTGATGTCAGCGCTTTCCCAAATGTGCTGATAAAGAAGGAAAGGCCAAAAGTGCACAAAGCCATTTGTTTCTGTCAAACAGCTCCTTTACATAAAAATACTTATTTCTGCTCTTTTTCTGCCTCCTCGTTCTCCATACTTTTCAATGACCTCTCAGCACTTTTTTCATACTATCTTCCTTTCCTTGTTTATCTTTTTAATTTTTTGTTTGTTTTTTGTTTTGAAGGTTGCTATAGAAAAGATGTGATTCGGATCATCACAGAAACACTCTTTATTTAACACTAAATTAAATTCAGAACCCCTTTGCTACCTCTTGCTCAAATGAAGTCCATCATGTCATCATCGTGAAGTCTATGTGACAGAAATAGAATGGCTTGTTGTAAAACCTGTGTGAATACAGTTTCTGAGACATTTTTCTTGTTTTGACCTCTTGTTCCTGGTGAAACACCATCATTTATTATTTTGTCTGTGTTTTTTTTTTTTTTTGCAAACAAATCCTCAGAATGAAGTATATATGGACTGGCCACATGTGTGCAGTTGCAGCGTACGGTGTGTGTGGGACTGAGTTGTGGACTCTGGTTCTCAGAGCTCTCCGCTTCAACACTAAACTTCTGGTATGATCTTACAGCTGCTTTCTCATCTACTCACCTGTTTTTTTTATTTATTTGTTTATTATTTTGTTTAAAAACTAAATTCAGAATGTTTAATCCATATATGTATTATTGATTGAAATCCACCAACTTTTGTACTCCTCATTTCTTTTGGTTTTATATCAGAAGTTTCTGATGAAGTTCCAGATAAAACCCTAATTTTTCCTCATCGTGTATAACAGTGTTATACAAACATACATGTGTAAGAATTTTGGAGGACTTTCTGGTTTGATGTGGACGTGAATCATTTTGCTCCCTCTGCCTAGTTTACATGACAGCTTGTGAATCCACTAGGTGTCAGTATGGTCACAACCTGCCAACAGCAGGATCACATCAATGATAGTCAGGAGCCAAATTGCTGTTTCCCATTTCTTTCTTTCTGTCCATGTCTTAAATAATTTGTCATATCTCTTCCTACCTTTAAATGTTTAAGTTTATTTTTGTCTTCTTCTTATAGAGTTTATGATTGTGGTTGCTCTATGTATTCATTTATTTTAGTATCCTTTTTCAGTTCAGGTTTGTCAGATATGCCGTTCCTCTGCTGATGCTGTGTTGGCTGTGTTACAAGGTATGTCATTTCTTGTTGCTTTCTGCTCGTATTGGCAGTCTCATTACTGAGCTTGCGTCAGTTAAAACTAATTAATTCTGTGAGGGAGGAATATTGGCCTCTTAAAATTTATTTTCGTGTTAAGGAAATTTAAATAGCTAGCACTCTGTTTGTTTACGTTGGGAAAGTAAGATGTTGAGCAAGAAATGTCACCATGTTTAGATCTCGGGTTTCTAACTTAATGAGTGTTATCACACGATTTAACTTCACTTTTTTTTTTGTTTCCTACCCAGTTCTGGCCTAAGCTAATGGAGGAGTTATCAGAGCTGAGGGAGTTCTATGATCCAGACACTGTGGAGCTCATGACCTGGATTAGGTACCCCCCCACCCCCAACACACACACACTCATAGAAATCTAGAGCACACATTATATTGACGCAGATTTGATTAGCTTGTTTTTGTAGATCAGCCTTTTTTTTTCTGATGTCCCTGATGAATCTGTGTGTATGTGAGTGTACTGATGCTTGTTTGCGGGGGTGTCTTGTCTGATGAGTGATGAGAGCCGATGGGTTGTCATGAATAAGACATGGGGATGCTGGAACAAGCCCAGCTGTTGGCGGAGCTCTAACCCACCTCAGTGTCTCCAGGGCCATGTTTTTCCTGATGGCAGCAAGGGTGAAGCTGAGCTTTGGAATGCTTACACGCTGCTGTTGTGTTGGTGTTGGTGTCATTTTTGTCCTGTTTCTGGTCATTATGTTGGAGATGAAGCACAGGGTGTTGGTTGGAGGCCTGTAGTTGAGCCACAATAACTGATCATGCTGTCTGTTCTCTCACAGCGCTTGTTATTTTTGTCCCAGTTAGAGTCCATTTATGAAGTGAAGTGAGTTCAGCTTGAAATGGTGTTGGGGTCAGTGGGCATTGGTTGAGCACGGGTCAGAAACCTGTCAGTGGTGATGAGAAGGCGTTTTAACTTAAGGTACACCCATACTGAGACATGCCAGCTGACACAGATGGTGTGAAACCAAATGTGAATCTGAAAAGAGGATTCATTCTTCAAATGGTTACATTTCTGCTTGAGATAAAGTAAACATTTTGAATATAAAAAACATCATTTATGCCTTTTATTAAAAGTGGCTGATTGCAAAAATTATTATTATACTCAAAACTTAAAAAAAAGTATCAAACATTTTGTTTAAGTTCATGTATATCATATTGTTGTAGATGGTGGTTCATAATATTCGATACATACATTTTTGTATGAAGTTAAGATCACGCAATATATTAAATTATTATTTATTAACTAGAAAGGAGCCAAAACACAGAAGCTGTCAATCATTTTTTTAAATTGTTTTAATGATAAATAAAGCGTGCTGTGGTGCTGTTGGATCAAATGAACTTGATCAGTTCACCTCAGGTTTGCAAACTTCAACCCCCCTCCAAAAAAACAAACAAAAAAAAATCAGGTCTTCTAGAATAATCTCCTTTAAACAGAAGAGACTAAAGTGGAGGCATTTGGCCAGAATGCACTGCAGAAACACCTCACACCAACAGTCAAGCACAGTGAAAATGAAAATGAAAAATTTGTGATTGATGATCTAACAAAGTTAAGTCTGGTCCTATAGGTCTACCTGGATTATTGCCTTATAGTTTTCATCTTGACCTTCTAAGTTAATAACCAATTCAATTCAGTTTATTTATATTCACAAAGTCACAACAGATGTTGTTTCAGGGCACTGAACAGAAACATTCATATACATAAAAAATAATTTGTAAAAGTTCTCTATCTAAGGAAGCCGGCAGATTCACTGAATCTTCACTTCACCACAGTCTCCCATCCTGAGCAAGCACAAAGGCAACAGTGGAAAGGAAAAACTCCCTTTTAACAGGAAGAAACCTCCATCAAAACCAGTCTCAGGACAAGAGGCCATCTGCTTCGACCAGCTGGGATTGGAGAGGAACAGGAAGGAGAAACAAACACAAACTGACAGGTCCAGGTGTAGTTTCTATTGGAGGAAATACAAAAAAAAAACATGTTAAGTATAGAAATAATTACAAACTGGTGGAGTAGAGCAAGTAAAGACAGAAGCAGAGTGAGGAAAATGATGGAGCATTTGCTGTGAAACGTGAGAATCTTCTAGGATTATCTGAACTGATCAAACACACCTACTTAGACCAGGTTTAGGTTCTTTAGTTTTCTACTGACATGATGAAATCATCGTCACTTCAGTGTTTTAGCTTGTTGCCTTTGAGTGGACCAGTTGCAGATTTTAGGAAGTTAATTTTGATCTAATCCAATTAGACAGATAGCAGAAAGACACAGACAGAGGGAGGGGCAGTGATGGGGAGACAGGAGGAGAGGTCTGGATCATGAACGTTTTTGTGTGTGCGACATGGGTTCCCTTCCCTCTGCAGCTAATCCTATCAGACTCTTAGGATTAGGGGCTGCCTAACAGTTACCTTGGTCAGAGCTGAGAGCTGAGGGTGGAGCACTAAGCTTCTTGCTGCTGCGCTAATTACATTCCAGATGAAAGCATTAAGATGGAGAACAGGGCTCATATTGCACTGTATTCTCCAAGTGACTGACTGAGTCTGAGGCTATTTAGTTTTATGTGGAAAGTTCATGAGGGATTGTCAGAGTGTTTAATAATGAGGGGCAGAACAAGGACAGATTCACACAAATAGGAGCCAATATATTTTATGACCAGCTGGTGTGTTTATGTAAAGCTGTTAGGGACTCATTGTGCTAATTGTAGCTGCAGGGGATGTAATGTGGTTCTTTATCGAAATGAGAAAAAAACAAGGATTCACACAGTTCAATCGCTAAAGTCTGCCTAACGAAAAGGATTTTCAAAGCATTATTTAAGGACTATTCCAAATTAGAATCAGAATTAAACTATAGCTGGGTTAAAGATGGTGAACAGATGAGACGAGAAGTAAAATGATCTCAAGAATTATTAATATTTGCCCTGTGCTTTCTTAGGCACTGAAATGTGACATGCTGATTATTAGGGACACACCGATCCACTTTTTTCACTTCCGATCCGATATCAATATCTGCGTTTTGGAATCGGTCGATACCGAACCGATATCGATCTGGAAAAACGTGCTGAATTAACAAAAAATGGCTAAATCATGTCATCTGGACCCGTTTCTGAAACAGGTCCAGATTACCAGGTCCAGAAACCCAGTGCTGAATTAACTTAAAACATTTGTTTTGTTAAACGCAGACATGAATTATTTATTTATTTTTTTTAATTTACCCTTTATTTATACAGGTAGTCTCATTGAGCCACGAGAACTCATTTTCAAGAGACATCAGAATGTACTGAATTATAAATGTATTGAAAACTGTGCACCATAACAGCACACTTAAACACACTAAGAGCTTCACAAGCTTGGTCAAACGTAAAAACAACACAACTTTAATTTGTTCAGTCAGTACGCTAGCGTGTGATGTCACTCAGAGCACAAAACATAGAATTAGAGTGAATAGATCTGCCCCGTCATGGATCGGTCACATTGTCACCGATACCCGATCCAGAAGTTTTTCGATATCAGTACCGATACCTATATTGGTATCGGATCGGTGCATCTCTACTGATTATTATATTTCCTTTGACAATATTTTAAAAGGCCTATATTTACAAACTTGAACTAAGGTTTACAAGGTGACAGCTGATAAGACTTCCTCTGTCATTTCACTGAAACATAACTCTTGTTCTAAATGAATGAATGAAAATTAAAGATGGTGGTGTTATTTGCAGCCCAGCACAGACATGAACCCAGTGTTGGCCATACTGGACTCATCACTATGGTTTTATTGCCAGGTTCAGTACAGACCGAGTAGCTTTAGATCAGGTTGAACAGGAACAGCTGATTACAGGACTCCCAGGACTCAGTCCTGTCAACAGTGTGCATGCTGCTGCTAGAACAGCCAACAGAGCTTCCAGCACAGTACATGGTGCAGACACCAGCTGGGAGGGTTGGTTTCATGTTGAATATTACAGTTAGAAAGTTACTCTTTAAGGAAAAAAACAACATTTTTTTAAACTGTCAATTTTATGACTTCAGGTGAGCTAAAAATTCAAGTCACAAAATCAGTTCCTGCTGTATTTTGCTCCTATGAAGCCGCTCTCATCAAATACAATCCAGCAAATCCAAATGCCTTGTGAAAACACTATTCTGCTGGGAATCCAGTCTCAGGAAGTATGTTTTATTTTGGATTTTTTTTTTCCTTTCACACCCCCGCTTTGTGCCTTTGAGTTTAGATATACAGAGAATTAGGAAGTCTGCAGTGGAAATTATTAATGAGAGCTTTGACAGCAGTTTTGCTGCAGATTCAGGAGGCTCATGTGGCTACTCAGCATGGTGAGCCTTTCAGAGGAGAAACAGGCTCCCAGTACGAGTCAGCATGTTTGAGTTTTACACTGACTTGTTTATACAGAGTCCGCTCAACAAGAAAACTAGCTGTCTGTTAGTGGAGACCACTATGGCCACAAACATATTGAGCCCTTTTTTATGTATGTTCGATTTAGTCAGCAAGCAACTTCCAGCATTGAGAAATTGTTCTAAAATGTTATCAAAATGTCAAAATAAGAATTCATTTTCTTTTCATATAATCTCAAAGCACTAGGCGTTTTTCTTTGATTTGTTCAGTCTAGTCGTTGGGTCTGTGCTGAAAGGCCACTGGTCAAGGGCACAAATCTTTTTTTTTTTCATCTAAATTTTTGTTTTATTAGTTGAGCAGAGAGCCAAAAGATTTTGTTATGAATGCTTTTCTCATTGTGAATCAACCAGAGCATGCCTCAGGTACAGTCATGTGAAAAAATAGGACACTCTTTGAAAGTTTGTGTTCTTAACATATTTGCTCATATGCAAATTAAATATCTATTTAACAAAACAGAAAGATTAAAGTCATATAACTATGGTAGTAAGTTCACCACAAGAGCAGACTGCAAGACACTAAGTGTTCTCCAAAAATCATTAAATGTCCACGCAGCCTACAGCAAGCTGTTGCTACTGTGAATGTGAAAATGGGTTTTCTCTATAATCAGAAAGAGATCATATCCTGATGCATGCTTAGAAAGAGATGTACAGAAAGAGATCAGTGTTTCCCCTACTATTATACAAACAGGGTGCCCTGCCCCATCAACAGAATCAAGCGCCCCACCTACCAAACTGAACTGCACCCCCCAACCCCCATCAGCACTGATGCGCTAGCTATAAAACTAAAGGCAGCGCTAAAACACAGTACAAACAGCAGACAGCTCAGACATGTGTGCCCCCCCCCCCCCTCCCGTTTGACAACAATCACAGACTACATGAGTGCATCGCCATGGCAAGTTATCTAGGGGAAACACTGGAGATTATGTAACT